AAACTCCAATTCTTGGGCCTCCCATGCCTGCCACTCCATGAGGGCATTCAGGAGTCCTGGGCTCCCTTGGACCTATTTCCTCACTGGAAGAATGTAGGGCTATCTCATTAAAAAGTCAAAGGGATCTCTGAACAGATCCACATGTTTTGCATGTCCCTGGGTCCATCCTTCAGTTCCTAGCTCCCAGTCTCTTCTTCCTTTTACTCTCCTTCAGGGGCTAAGCCAGACAGCGTGGGCTGTGCTTACAGAAGGCCTTGGAGACAGGGCCTCACTGTGACTTTTGTAGGTCTTATTGCATTCCTGAGCCACTTCCCGTAAAAACATTCAAACATTGTATTTCACAACTGCATTGGTGTAACGGTGAACATAATCCAAGCTGGATTCATTGGTATATATTATTAGTAGTAGTTTTGTAGTCACATTTGATTCTGATTCTTTAAAATTTGTGATATTTTCATGGACCCCTAAAGTATTGCAGGCCTGCAACTCTGTATATACTATGCCTGATGGAAGAGGTGCCCCTGAATTGTCCTGAGAAACAGACAGGGTCTTCCTGGTGAGAGGATACTGGGAAGAAGAGGGACAGCTGAGGTAGGAACAGAGTCAGTGGCAATGCTGACCCTGGGGACAGGAACACTGGCACCTGTGAGTGTCCAATGTGCTTCCTGTCTACACACCATGCAGCTCTCTCCACCTCCACGGCCTCTGCAGCTCAGTGTGGGGAGAGAAAGGGCCACATTCCCACTGCAGGGACAGTTCCTGCACCCAGAGAGAGTCTCCCAGTTTAAAGTGCCATCCAACTCAGCAATCAGGGTAAATACTATTTTAGTGCAACATTTGTAAAGACCAAAATTAATGCCCAAATCCACAAGGAACAAAATCTAAATTTCATTCAGGACAGACTTCACTCTGCTTTGCAGGTGCCACCTCACTCTCTGGTTTCAGTCCCTGCACCCCTGGGTGGGTGCAGACAGGGCCCAGAGGAGCCTGGCCCCACAGGCAGGGCTCAGAGTGACAGGAGGGCTGTGGTGGGATTGGGGACTCCGGGCACGACCCACCCTCCACACCCACCCATGGGCCAAGACCTCAGAGGCAGTCACATGGGAGGTGGCCATGAGGGGAAGAAAAGCCTTTTCCAGAGAGGAGCAGTGCTTGGGGACAGAAGGCGAGGAAGAAAGAGCTCTGTGGGGTCTTCTGTCCCCAGCCCTGCCTTGCTGCATCATCTGTGACAGTGCACCCACTACAGTGTGCTGTGTGAGACCCCTAACACCTCTCTTTTTATGGCAGAACAAACAGGACCTGTAGTTCTTTGCAGTCAGTTTATTGAAATGAAAATGTATTTGAGGTTTCAACAATTGTCTTGCAGATTATAGGTAAAAGGGAAAAAAAAGAAGGAAAAATTTCGGTCTTCAGCAATTGGCAGTCGGTTTCTGACCACAGTCTGAGCCCAGGGTCTTGTAGAAAGTTAAAATACCTTACACCAAAAGCTGTTATAAATTGTTTGCTGGAAAACAAAAACAGAGACGTCGCTTAGATTTTCAACTCTCTCTTACAAAATAAAATCTTGAAAGACAGAGTCTCTTGTTGTTTTACTGAATTTGTTCACAAACATCAGGTATCCATAAAAGTTAATGCAGGAAGTCAAAGCAGAATTATCTCCTCATTTATTCTCTCATTCAGGAGACGTTTACCGATGCCAGTGAGGGGCTACTGTTTCTGGATCTTTCCCCCACTATAGACCCCTTTCATTATTCTCCCTGTTTCCCGCGCTATGAAATAATTTATCCACTAAATACAAGTGCATGGATTACCTGTTTTCACACAAAATTGTGAAAATCTCAGCTCAAATACAAAGCAATGTGAAGTTTTTCAGTTTTCGTATGAACTTACATTTTAGACGTATTGAAAACAGTCTGACCCCCTCCAACATTACCTTCATGCCCTAGAAAATATTAGAGCTGTGCACTTTTAAAAGAAAAAATTCCGTCATCTTTAGTTGCCGTTGATATTTACTTTTTCAAGAATTTCTAATTGTGGTAAAATATACATAACATAAAACTTACCATCTTAAGTATAGTTAAGTATATTCCCTTTGCTGTGCAACCAAACTCCAGAACTTCTTTACCTTGCAAAGCTGAAACTCTATGCCCATTAAACCATGACTCCCATTTTTCTCTCTGCATCCAACCCCTGACAACCACAATTTTACTTTCAGTTTCTCCGAGTGTGACTATTCTAGGTACTTCACATATGTGGAATTATGCAGCATTTGTCTTTTTGTGACTCCTTTTTTCGCTTAGCATAATATTCTCAAGGTTCATCCATGTTGGAGCTTGTATCAGAATTTTTTTATGGGCTGTTCACTTTTATCCTTATGCTTTTTGGTATATTTTAAAATTTTTTTACCAAGAAGTGATTTAAGTGGAATCTTAATATAGTGAATAAATGCTAGGAAAAAAACCCAACTATATAGAGTTATAATTAGAAAGAAATATTCATTGTATTGAATTTTTTTCTTTGTTTTTTCATTGTGGTAAAACATATATCATAAGGATTGCCATTTTAAGCATTTTTAGCATACAATGGTGTTGAGTTAATTGCATCACAATACCATTCTACTGATTTTTGTTTTATTCCTTCATTCCTGATGTTTTCATACCCATCATCTGCATGTGTCAATTAAATAGTCCCAGATTTTCAGTCATTTATATTAACAAATTCTGGTTGAGTGGAAGTGCATTTTAAATTCTTTTCATTTAACATGTATAGAATCTGGCTCAAATGGTGTCCAAAAATAGGTAAGAACATTTTTACAATTTGTTTTTTGAAAAGAGGGACCTCTCTTTGCAGATTGCTTCTAAAGGTGAGGGGCTTTTTGAGGAGATGCTTTTACTTTTGATAGAAAACTCTGCGTGTGTGTGTGTGCATGCATGTGTGTGTGTGTGTGTGTGTGTGTGTGTGTGTGTCTGAGCATGAACTAAGGAGCACAAGGGACAGGTAGGCCTTTTCCTGAGCTTTCTTTCCCCCTTTTGCCTTATTTAGTCACTGAAAATTCTCAAAGTGAAGTGACAAATCAGCATTGGGATCTTGGATGGCTTTCTTAATGTCAAAGTCATTAGATTAACTGCACAATTAAATTAACTGATATAAGAAAAGTCATGTTCACCAGTTGTTTGGCATTATTAGTGACAAGTTCAGAACCTTCTTGTCCCTGGTTAGTGGTTTTAAAAAGCCAATAAGAAGAAATCAAAATTACCACCAGCTCTTCAGCACTGTTCAGAGTATTGTCTGATTGCTTGAGAAAACACTGTTTGAATTCATCTACGGCGTCGGCAGTTTCATTATTTGATATGAACTCTTGAAAAGAGTCTTTAAATTGACTTGTAGACACCCTGGGATCAATTATATTTGCAATTATATCCTCAAGAAGTTGGCAGCCAGACCCTGAGGAGAGAGCAGGAGAAAACAGGCTCATTGCTGGAGGTGTGAGCCCACTGGGGGAGTCCTGTGATGTCCCTCATCTTCTTGCACCCACTAGAGACACTGATGACGAAGGACTGTGGTCTGTGTCTCGGGTCCTAGGTTCTAGGACAGTAAACTCAGGCTCTGGATTTAAGCCCTGCAGCATCTGACCCCCCCCTCCCCCACAGCCTAGAGGAGCCAAACCCCGTGCAAAGTGGCTTTATGAGGAGGCTGGAGAAATGAGACGCTCTGACTTGGTGGGACATACTCAACCCTATTTCCTCTTTCTTGGACGACAGTCGTGCCGTGGTTCACTATTATCATTCAGAGCCTCAAGTAGGATTTCAAGTATCACAGAAGCATTGGGTCTGGAGCACTGTCCATTAACTCTTTTAACTCTAACTGTGGTCTGCATCGACAAGGAAGGTAAAACAGAACCTCCTGTTGGTGAAGTGATCAGATGCGGCCACCCCTGAGGACGAGGGGACAGAGCTCGGGACCTGGATTCATGAGAGCTGGTTTGCTCTTGGCTCTGCATTTTTCCACTTAGTTGCCTGTGAGCAGAGCACCTTTTTACCCGTCTGCACCTACTTCGGGAACAAATGAGGGAGGGTATGCAAGTGAGCCTTGTCGGTTGTACAAAGCAGGCTACACATGTGACCTGTTAGTGCTGCCCAGATTCTGGCCGTCAGGGCTTTGTCCTCCCTCTGGGTCTTTAATGCTGGAAGGAGACTCCAGAGGGTATGAGTCCTCCCCAGGCTGCCTCAAGCACAAAGGGGCTGGGAGTTAACGTGCCTTCCACAAGGGCTGAGATCAACTCCGGGAGTGAAGAGTGGCTGGGGTTTTCCTGTTTCCTCCCATGTTTAAGGAGACCCGGGAATGCCTCTTTCAGGAAACCCATGTGGACCCAATGCCATGGGTCCATCCTTCATATCTTTGCCCCACTTAAATGTCTCATTCAAATACTCAATCCTGAGTCTCATCCTGATTTTCATGGTAGCTGCACCATGGTGGGACACCCTGAATGGGTATGAGACGCTCCATCCAGCTCCAATACAGGGGCACAGCCCACGAGGGAACTTGCTCTTTGACTGTCTGGAATTAATGGTGATGCTTTGGCTTATTACACCCAGACCCTTTGCACCGAGACTCACCTGTGCTGGGGCCTGGGAACTGGGAGATCTTGCCCAGGGCCCAGGAATCAAGCCCCAGCTGACAGGCAGCCCTCCGTGCACAGAACTCACCTGCAGAGCAGTAGAGGGGGAGGGCGGCCAGCGTGAGGACCACCAGCAGCTTCATGCTGAGGCAGCTGTTGTTGGCTGTGAAGGCGTCTGCGGCAGGGATCAAGGACCTCGCTTTGGAGGTGAGCACCCAGAGCTCCTCTATTTATTCCCCAGGCAGCCACCTTAATCCCTCCCAGGAATCAGGGAATGAGTCAAAGACTCAACCTGGCACGGGACCAGGAAGGAACAGCCTGCACTGGCAGGAGCCCAGCCAGTGTGTGACAGGCGTGTAGAAACCTCCTGCTTCCCACCTCTTCCTTGGGTTCCTGCTCCCTTGGCTCTTCCTCGTCTTCTCCACCTGCTTCAGGTGCTCACAACGCCCCCTGCATGAGCTGGCTCCACCGAGCAGCGGGCCTGCTGCAGTGCCGCACGCCGCCTCCAGGGGGCAGGCTCTGCTCACCCACCGACTCTCACGTTCAGAAACGTGCTTGACGTTCTGTGTGGATATTTACCGACATCCGCCCTCCACTGAAAGTCATTTCTGTAAGGATTTTCTCACTTAGTAACTTCACAAATTCATCGTATTGTAAATGTGTTAATACGTGCATTTATTTCCTTGTTGTCTTTTCAGGGTTTTCCTTCCAAATTGCTGAGGGCAGGCAGGGCTGCACGGTGCACGGTGCGGGATTCGGCTCATGCTCGTGTGGATTTGGATACTCGATGCACCATCTGGTCATGACGTGTCCTTGGGCAAGTTCCAGTATTGTCTCGGAGCTTCCTAGGGTATGCGTGATCCCTTGTCGGGATGTCCTAAGGATGACAGTCGCTCTGTGTAAAGATTCTATCACACGGCCCCCCATAAGGTGACCACGCATGAGTGGGAGTGTTTATCCCTCCGTCCCTCCATCCATTCATCCGTGAATTACTGTTGAGCTTGTCCCATACACTGGGCCCTGAGCTACGTGTGACGGAATCAATTAGAGGAACAACACAGAGCAGGCCCTTGCCCTTGGGCAGCTCCCTTTCTAAACTGGGAGGCAGCAGACAAGCACACACATCCATGGGGGACGTGGGGAAGTGGCAGTCACTGCTGTGTCCTTGACTCCCACTGCTTTGCTGTGTGAACTCAGGGTTGATTCTGTAGGGGCCACAGTCACCTGCTTGAGGCCTTTGCTCCCCGTCGTCTCCCCTCCTCCACTGTGCCTGTCACTCTGGGATNAGCACAAAGGGGCTGGGAGTTAACGTGCCTTCCACAAGGGCTGAGATCAACTCCGGGAGTGCAGAGTGAGCCCCACATGGTGTGAGACACTGGGTCACACGCTGCGGCCTGAATCTTCTCTCCTGAGGTTTTCCCATTTCCTCCCATGTTTAAGGAGACCCGGGAATGCCTCTTTCAGGAAACCTATGTGGACCTAATGCCATGGGTCCATCCTTCATATCTTTGCCCCACTGAAGTGTCTCATTCAAATACTCAATCCTGAGTCTCATCCTGGTTTTCATGGTAGCTGCACCATGGTGGGACACCCTGAATGGGTATGAGACGCTCCATCCAGCTCCAATACAGCGGCACAGCCCATGAGGGAACCTGCTCTTTGACTATCTGGAATTAATGGTGATGCTTTGGCCTATTACACCCAGACCCTTTGCACCGAGACTCACCTGTGCTGGGGCCTGGGAACTGGGAGATCTTGCCCAGGGCCCAGGAATCAACCCCCAGCTGACAGGCAGCCCTCCGTGCACAGAACTCACCTGCAGAGCAGTAGAGGGGGAGGGCGGCCAGCGTGAGGACCACCAGCAGCTTCATGCTGAGGCAGCTGTTGTTGGCTGTGAAGGCGTCTGCGGCAGGGATCAAGGACCTCGCTTTGGAGGTGAGCACCCAGAGCTCCTCTATTTATTCCCCAGGCAGCCACCTTAATCCCTCCCAGGAATCAGGGAATGAGTCAAAGACTCAACCTGGCACGGGACCAGGAAGGAACAGCCTGCACTGGCAGGAGCCCAGCCAGTGTGTGACAGGCGTGTAGAAACCTCCTGCTTCCCGCCTCTTCCTTGGGTTCCTTCTCCCTTGGCTCTTCCTCGTCTTCTCCACCTGCTTCAGGTGCTCAAAGTCCCCGCTGCATGAGCTGGCTCCACCGAGCAGCGGGCCTGCTGCAGTGCCGCACGCCGCCTCCAGGGGGCAGGCTCTGCTCACCCACCGACTCTCACGTTCAGAAACGTGCTTGACGTTCTGTGTGGATATTTACCGACATCCGCCCTCCACTGAAAGTCATTTCTGTAAGGATTTTCTCACTTAGTAACTTCACAAATTCATCGTATTGTAAATGTGTTAATACGTGCATTTATTTCCTTGTTGTCTTTTCAGGGTTTTCCTTCCAAATTGCTGAGGGCAGGCAGGGCTGCACGGTGCACAGTGTGGGATTCGGCTCACGCTTGTGTGGATTTGGATACTCGACGCACCATCTGGTCATGACGTGTCCTTGGGCAAGTTCCAATATTGTCTCGGAGCTTCCTTGGGTATGCGTGAACCCTTGTCGGGATGTCCTAAGGATGACAGTCGCTCTGTGTAAAGATTCTATCACACGGCCTCACGTAAGGTGACCACGCATGAGTGGGAGTGTTTATCCCTCCGTCCCTCCATCCATTCATCCGTGAATTACTGTTGAGCTTGTCCCACGCACTGGGCCCTGAGCTACGTGTGACGGAATCAATTAGAGGAACAAGACAGAGCAGGCCCTTGCCCTTGTGCAGCTCCCTTTCTAAACCGGGAGGCAGCAGACAAGCACACACATCCCTGGGTGACCTGGGGAAGTGGCAATCACTGCTGTGGTCCTGTTATGGACTCGCAAGAGCAATCCCATCAGAAGGGAGACCGTGTGGTTTATTGCCCACACTTGGGCTCTTTGGTGGTGAAGGTGCACATGAAATGGACAGGATGTCAGGACAACAACACAAGCCAGGACTGCTCTGAGCAAACAAGCATGGGTGTCAGCTGCCTGTAAGGTGGACATATTTAAGTCCCAAAGAAATGGGACATAGAGAGATCAAGACTTACCCCGAGGACACAGCCAGTGAGTGGCTGAACCAGGCTATGAAGTCAGACGTTCTGACTCCAGAGACTTCTCTCAACTCTATTCACCTCTTTGGCTTAACCCTGAGGAACCTTCATATTATGGTTCAAACCTATCCCTGTGTCCTTGACTCCCACTGCTGTGCTGTGTGAACTCAGGGTTGATTCTGTAGGGGCCACAGTCATCTGCTTGAGGCCTTTGCTCCCCGTTGTCTCCCCTCCTCCACTGTGCCTGTCACTCTGGGATGAAACATGCCTCATTCCCTAAGCCACATCAACCACAGCCATGTCTGTGCCCTTCCCTGGCCCCTGCAGCTCCAGAATCTCCCCAGTCACAGGACCCCAGGGCTGTCCATGAACATCCCTCTCCTGACATCTCCAGCACCCTATTTAATGGCCCCTGCTCTGTTCAAGGTCTTGAACCCACAGCATGTGCACGTCTTCTTTCTACTATAGCCTGATATCAGGCGCTTAGTTAATATTTATGTAACTGATGTTCAAGAACACATTGTACTTCTCTTACATAGGGTTTTTAAATTGTATTACATGTTTCATGACTAGGTCTGTTAGAAACATGAACTCATTTAAAATTAGTTTCAATAAAAACACACCTAGTACTTAAGAATGAAATCAGCCATCAGCCTGAGGTTCTGGGCAATAGAACCACCATTTGTGTTTTCCTGTGCAAATGAGGACCTTGACATAGAGAGGAAGGAGGCAGGTGAGGAGAGGAGGTATTTAGAGTCCCTGTCATCCGCTGCCTGAGTCACCTCAATGTCTCTTTTTCCAGGAGTGACTGGCATCGTGGTGGGATCTAACCAGAATCTGTGTAATGAACTGGGACCAGGAGCCGGTATTGGAAGTAGAACCAGAATCAGGTGTCAGCCCCTGGCTAATTCTCCTTGGCTCCTTCAGCAAACCCTGAAAGTACACAACCTGCCATTTCCCTGAGATGTGCGTGGTTAAAAATGTCAATGCCTGGGTACATGTGACATTTGACTTGGATCATTATATTTCTACACCAATATCTATGCCAGTCAGTTAGTAATTTTCCTTTCACTTCAATGCCAACATTTTCCTCGTCCCTGTAGTGAGCCCATGGTTATGAGCCTCTGGAACACAAGGGCATAACAAGAGGTACGTGGGGAGTTTGTATAAAGTATCCCCACTGCTAGAGCACTGGTTCTCAGCAGGGGCAATTTTGATCTTCCCTGCAAACTTGGAGAACATTGGTCAAGGTCTAGAGTTGTTTGTGGTTGTCCCAAGTGGAGGAGGATGAGTGTGCTACTGATATCGAGTGTCAGGGGCAAGGAATTAAACATCCTACTGAATCCTGATATTCACATCAAAATCAAGGGTGCTGTAGTGGAGAGGCCATGTGTATGTAAATATTGAAAAGCACTTGGTCTCGTATTGATACATCAGCAGTGCTAGATGGCCTTGTCTCTAGTGCACAGTGAATGCAGCCCCGGGTACAGCAAGATCCGGGCAGGTGTGTGGGCATCATTGCCCTCCCATGGGCTGGACTCAGTGTCACCTACACGCCCAGGCCCAGGCAGCTTTGCCCACCAGCAGGGCCTTACTTCCACCTTTCAGTCATCCTCATCCTCTAGGTCCTTATGACCTCACACAGCCATCACCCCCTGCACAAAGCCTCCCTTCCTGGAGATGCACAGCTCAGAAGGACTTTAGCTTCCATAGGTCAATAATATGTAATATGTAAGACAAATGTACATGTATCTTTTTAATATGTAAGACAAAATATTCTCAGTGATATGTATCTCTTATCATTCTTCAGTCCTCTGTCTTGTCCCTTGTCATTCAACATGTAATTCATTATATACGGAAATCTGCTATTTCTTTCAATAAAATATATCAAACTCTTGTTAGGTGCGTGGTGGGTTTTGAGCTGACCTTAGATA